CCCCCCCCCCTGGTTTTTTATTTTGCTTTACTTTTCGGTTTTTTTGGAATAATACGCTTTTAAAAACCAATTTTATTATTATAATAACGTTTTTTAACTTTTTCCAAACATTTGCAAAAGTTAATTAAAATTACAATAGCAACTTTATTGTACGCTTTATAAACAAAAAAAGTTGGAAAAAGGCCGAAATGCAGCATTAACCAACCGTTATTACCGCAGCGCAATATAAAGCGCTTAACAAGCAATTTTAAAACGTTCAACTTTTTCCGCCGAATGTTACGACCAACAACCACCCTTACCCAGGAAGGAGGGGTGGCACGGCACGGAACCCCCCTATAAAGGGTAAAGGGTTACGTAACCACCTGGGATTAGTAAATTAGGGAAGCAAAAGAAGTAAGCCACTAATCCAAAGGAGGCTCAAGAAGGCTTACGGAATCGGCTTTGCGAACCAACTAATCCACAACCCCAAAGGAATAATTATTAAAGTATAAAAAAAAAGGGTTTTTTACTGTTTTAAGTAATTTTTAACTAAAGCTTCGGCATTAATTAAATTTTAATTGGCTTTTAAATAACTTTTGGAGCAAGCATTTAAACCGCACCCAAATTACCTTATAAATCCTTTTAATTTGTTAAATTACGTGCTATTGCTCGACATTCTTTTAATGCTTTACTTTAAAAGCAAAAGCTTAATTGTAACATTTTAATTAATCCTGTTTAGCACCGGATCGTACCGAGCAATAACAATAGCAATTTAAGCCGAATTTGCAAAAGCAACCGAAATTTTTATTCCAAAAACGAACGTTTTCCGGTTTGGAAGCAAAAAATACAACATAAACAACGCGATTTATTGCCGTTTGGCATTAAAAGCTTTGGCCGCGGATATTGCGCAAACCAAAAAGCGAGCCGGCGCTTTTTAAGTTGCTACCCGCGCGTACAAATTCCCCACGCTTAACCGTTACAATGGGAAAAACGGGGCTTTTAAAGCGTTTTTAACGGAATGCCGAAGCTTTTTTGCCTTTTATTATAACCAGTTTAATATAAAATAGCAAAGGGTTGCTTACGCAACCATTTGCTTTAAAAGCAAAGTTAAAAAGTAATTTAAGCCTGTATAAGCAAATTTTTTTAAGGGCTACAACGAAAGCCGGGAAAAAACCAAGGTTATTTTTGCTAGCTTCGCCCGGTTCGAAAAAAAGGTTATTAACGTATTTGGTTAAATTAACGAGCAATAAATTGCAAAAAAGAAAATATTTTAATTTCGATAAAAAAGCGCAGCGTTAAAGTACGTTTCCGATTTCCAACGCTTTATTAACAAGCTTAACTAAACCAACCAAATTAAAATGGCTTATTTATATAATAAGCTTTAAAATAACGTAAAAAACAAAATTTTAAAAGTTAAACAACCTAAATCCTTTGCTAAATACGTTGTTATAATAATTAAAACCAGCGATAAATTATACAAACGCCGTTTGGAAAAAAAAGGCCAAAAAACCAAACTTGTAATACAAAATAACCAACCGTAACGGCGGTTCGACCGCAACAAATCCATAGCTTATGGTTATTACTTTAACTTTATGGATTTTAACGCCGGCGCTACGCATTAAAAGCAAAGGAAGCGCAAATTCCAAAACTTTAAAAATAGCAAATGCTTTTAATATAAACAATTTAAACATATTAAAAAGGATTGTTTTTAAAAGAAAAAGCAAAAAAAAGTATTTTGGGAAGGAAAAATTAAAGTAGCGGTAACAACCAAAAAAGTAACGATAAGATTAAAAAATAATGGCTATCCCGGCTTTGCGTTTTTTTGGATTGCATGCATTAATAACCGTTACGTTACCCACCATTCCAATAAAAATGCAACAAAATGGTTTTTTCGAAAGCAATTGGTTATAATTAAACGAAAGAACTTTGCAATACTTTGCAGCAACAACCCAGCCAATTCCAACAACGAAAGTAATTAAGCTTAAATTAATAAATACGTTAAGGAAAACCCGGATTTACGGTCCTTTTCGTTTAAAAACCTGGTACAAGCAGCGGAACAAAAAGGAATTTCAAATTTATTAATAACAAAATTGGAAGCAAGCAATGGTTTTGCTTAAGCCAAAAACAATTCGAATTTTTGGGTCGAACCTAGCAATTTCGCTTGGCCCACCCAAATTACCGAAAAACAAAAGTTAAAGTCCGATAGCGATACGAACGCAGCAATGGCCCGAAACGGGCTTATAACCAGCCCGTTCCCACCATTTATCGATTCGGAAAACGAAAAGATAAGTAGCAATTTTACCATGGGAAATATGGTAAGGATATTGCAAAACCCGGAGCAAAGCTTACCCAAGCCCACAAAGGCTCCGGTGTTTAAAAAACGGGTAATAATTAAATACAACCCGTTTAACAAAAGCAGCAACTCCGAAAAAGAAAGCAATAAAGGAAGTTTAAATAGCTTCCGCCGTTACACCAAAAACGCCCACTTTTTACAAAGATATACGCAAGCGGCGTACCAAAAACGGTACCAACGAAAGTACAAATTAAAACGCAACCAAAACGTTAATTTGCAAAATTTTTGGACGTAAATTAAGCGTTAGCCAAAAAAAAATAAATTAAATTACAACCAATTTATTGTAATTAAAACCAACGGTTTGGCATATGCGTGCGCAGCAATGCTAAACCAAGCTAATTATAAAACGTTCCGTTAAAGCAAGTTTATAATGCAAAAGCAAAAAAAAGGTTTGCACCCGGTACGCCCGAAAGCCGTAATCGAACAATTCCAAAAAGGCAAAAAAGCTTGGAACAAAGCTAAAATTTAACGGTACTTTTGGAACGTTAATTTGCTAAACAAAAACAGCACTTTTTACGAAGTTACATTAGCTAAAAACAATTTTAAGCGTTTTATTAATTAGCTTGGTAGCAACCACCCAATTACGTACCAAAAGTACACCCGGTTGCAAGCGTATAACCAAAAATAAGCTAAAAAGTTACAAAGCAATACCAAAGGAAAAAACCATAATAATTTTATGCTTAGCTATTAAAAGCATTTGTAATTGTTTTAAAAAAAATGCTTTGTTACAAATTGTGCAATACATTTAATTTAAAAGCTCCGAAGCAACTTTTTTTTTTGCCAATAAACCAATAAATTTATTACCAAACCAAAGCTGGCATGGCAATTACCCAAATGGTTCGTTACCAAAAGGTACGGAAAGTTAACAATGTTTCGAACCAACCCGCAATAGCTTATACTTTGCATTGCTAAAATTTTAAAATGGCAAAAATGCAAAAAATTAAAATGCAAAGTTTATATTATGCAAAAAGCCAAAGCATAACAAACAAAATATAAATTTTTATACATACCAATACGGTACGACAAAAACGTAAAAAGCTTGTATAAATTTCCCCGCAACCCTAACAATTTAAAATACGTAAAGGTACGCAAAAAATAGGAAATAAAGCTATTTAAACTTTAAATAAAACATTTTAAAATAAAAAATTAAAAAATTTACTTGTACCAAAGCTACAAAAAGGATAACTATTTGCAACAAAAACTTTAGTAGCAACGATTAGCCCAAACAAATAACATTTCCATATATAAGTGCAATGAGGCTTTTATCGCTTAAAAACTTTAATTAATTGCAACGCTTAAAGCAATTACGTATTATTACAAGCAATATTACGATACGGTATTCCTATACGCAGGAAAAACGAACCATACCTTTTCGAAATTATAAAAAAAAACTTTATTAAATATAATAATGGGTAAATCGATATTAAAACCAATTATTTTAATTTCCAATACCAAAATAATTTTTTTTAAATAACGCTAAACGCGTTAAAAATACGGGACGAAAAT